AGATGTTCAACCCAATAAAGTATGACTTCTTGTTCGCAAATAGTTGATGGCATGAATGATGCTAGGGACACAAAAATGGGAATGATCCCGGAAGCAACAAAAGCATCTAATAACAAAAGTTACTTACTTTTATTTAGTTTTTTTTTTTTTTTTTTTTTGTGTAACAAAAGTTCCTCAACTTGGAAGGTGATGAGTGACTGAGTGATATGACTATGTTGAAGCCTCACTTACAATTCCCTGCAGGAATAGTAAATTATGCAAGCAAACTGATGATGTTCCTGGGATAGGGCATAATGAGAAGACACATTCCACAAAGTTCATATCTGACAAGGGATTCTTAAAACTTTTTTTAATCAGACACGCCGCGATCCTATTCTTACTCCTACTTTAGCCTACACTAAAGGTAAATGCCACCCACCACAGCCAGGTGTGCGACCCGGGTCGACCAACGGATTAGTCAGGGCAAAGCCTTGGATACCGTGGCAGGCAACCAAAAAAAAAAAAAAAAAAAAGGTAAATGCAATGGAGTCTAGAAAAATCGATGGAGACCAAACTACTATTGAACCAGACTAATATCAATATGAAGCTTAGCAAGTAAGAATGTACCTTACATTATACAATTTTTTTTAAGGCCTGGTATTTCATTTGTACATGTAATTAAACCTGTGTGGCAGATTAGTGACTCTCTTCAGTCTTGGATTCAAGCAATACTTTAGACTTTTCTTCATACAATTAAAATAGACAACCTTATGCATCCTAAAATATTGAAATCTTCACTACTCAAGCTGGATCTTGCATACTACACTTCCATATATAATTTTTTTTTTTCTTTTATGCTTTCTTTTCATTTTGTAACCCTAGCTACGATGCCTTTTTGGTGGATCCAAGACTTCGAGTCCATGCCATGATTTTCTCACTGTGTCTCCTTTATGTCTTTTTTAAGGTTAAGCTCGACAACAATACTACAAAGATCAAGAAAATTCATGCACATTCTACAATAAACGCAAGTATGGTCCATCCATCGTATTCAGATACACTGAGTTGACTATAATATTAAACGAAAATCCTCCGATTTTTTTTTTTGTCCCTTTTAGTAAGCTTCTCCAAACCCTTGAACATGCATAATACAATTAAAGTTGTTGCACAGACCTCGTAGCTGAATAGTATTGGTTATTTGAAGCCTCTAAATCAACTTTTGTTGGTTAAATTTTTCTAAAGTATATGGGTAATAAAACTAAGGAAAAGATGAAAAATCATCGCTATGTAGTATAATATTGCTAATGTTACGACCTTGTTTGGATTGTAAATTTTTTTTAAAATTTTTTTTACTTTTTTCATGAACATATTTCTAAATCAACTTTTTATCTTGTATACATCAAATCGTAATAGTATATTTTTTCTTACAAAACTTGAAAAAGTAGCAATGCAAACCAATCACTACACGCAATTTACAGATTACAAGATACCAGTTACTACACACAATTTATTAAATTGATAACTTTTTTTTAATATACTACCAGTGTAAAGATTTTTTTATACAAGTAGATTTAGATCATACTACATAATATGAATTCAAATTTTAAATTTAAATCATGCGCATGTGACATATATTCTAAGCTATTAGTATAAAAAAATCACTACACACCATCAGTGCATAAAAAATTAATCCTAGTAAATTAGCAACTGAATGCAAGCTACCCTTGACAATTTAGACTAAGGGCTAACTCTTCGTTTGTGCCCATTATGGACGTCAGCACACACCATCCGAATACCTAAAAAGCCATACCAGGGCATGTTCACAAGTCCAACCCATATCAAGCTATGAGGCCGCCAGTGTCATGAGTGTGACCTATTTGGCCCATTTCTCTTTGGATGATGGATTCCTCAATGCATGAATGTATAACAACCGAAAAATAGATGACCTGTCACTTGTCAGTCCAAAATTCGGAATGCATCAGGCCATTGGCTGTTGATGCTCGTTGGATCTAGAATGGGTCATGGTGCCGAAAAAAGGTCCTCTGAACTGGGCTTCTGCTTGCTAGGCTATGTAGACTCTAGTGCCTATTTGGGGAGTTTAGGATGGATAAGAGAAGAAGAGAAAGTTAGATAATTAGAAAAACAAAAGAAGAGAAGAGAAAAGATTGTTATATCCTTTCACATTATTTGGAAGATTTGGGAGCAGAAAAGAAAGAAGTGATTTTATTTTCATTGGGAATGGAGATGTGTAAAAAGAAAAGATTTTATTTTACAATAGTATAATATAATTTGGAACTCGTTTATTAATATAATATAATTTCACATGGCAAACATTAAGGGTAAAACTGGTGTACTGAAAAAGTTAATAAAGTCCCTTTTTCTTGCATGGATGGAAGATTTTTTTGGCTTGTGGAGGGATTTCGGGTCCCTCCTTCTTCTCCTTCTTTCTTTTGTTATTAAAATTTCCAAACAAAAGGATACCTCCACTTTCTTTCTAACTCCTTCCTTTTCTCTCCAGACTAGCTATAAGCTTTACAAGCGAAATGGGAAAAAGGAAAGCTTGAGACTTCAGGATAGATTTCACGAATACCTAATCAATGTCCTTACTAACAAGAGTTAGGTATTAAAAAGGAAATGTCCAATTTCACCTCTAACTCCAGAGAGGAAACTCATGCATTGACATGAGCTGGAATTCGCAATTGGCTGTGATTTATTACTTTGTCCTAATTTTTAAAGATCCAATGAACTAAATTTAGTGAAATGGTATGATACAATTTGATCATTGAATCTTTGAACATCGAATCTCACCAAGTATGAGCCTATTAATTTAACTATTCATGTGACCAAAATTGCTATGGTGATAGATGGTAAAGAGCCAATTGCCATAAAATAGTGGTTCTGTGATCGCCCTTAACTTCATTTCAATAGAAAAAGGAGGACATGCTATGTTTTTTTTTTTTCAAGAGTTTAATATGCAGAACTATATGTATGTGTGATAAGTTCATTATTGTTGCTATGAAAAGGAAGCAAATATTAAAGTCAATTTGGGTCATCAAGTATAGTTTATGAACATCAATCATCATGTATGACTTCCTTAGAATTTTCTGAACATGTAAAACGCAGTATGAACAAAAGAAGTTTATCGAAAACCAAGTACACTTCAGCTAACTTTGTGATTAACCGGTCAAACAGTTTGACAATGCCTTTCCAACTACTTGATATTTTTTTGTCTCAAAACCAGAATAATACTTGTTCTGCAACCCGTAATAATAATCCAGATCAGACCGGCAGAAATGGGTATCATGCACAGAGGAAATCAAGAAATAGACAACTGAAAAAGAAGTTACTTTGATTACATAACCAATCTGCAATCTTATCGTCTGACAATGGCATCCGAACCATTTTAGATTTGTCATGCGCTAGAACCCTTTCTTGAAGTAGCCAACCTCATTACTTTCACACATTTTTTTGGCAAGTTTTTCAAGTTCGTGATACTGCTCTATCTTCCCTGATGTGATACTGCTCTTTGATTCCTATTTTAATGTCGTGATTCACTGTGGAGTGTTAGTATTAGTTACGAGCTGTTACTGGAAAACCGTCATATTGTTGTATAGCACTGTAGAGAGGAAAGGTGTTTATTTTGTTAATGAAAAGAAGGGCATGGGATTAAAAGAAGGCCCCACGAATACATCAGGTGTTACCCCTTCTGGACTGTGTTGTTACGGTTGGCATATGTAGCTGTAAATGCTTTTCTGGTAAGAGTTATACGTAGTTGATGCATTACAGGGTATTCGGACTGATGCAGAGCAAGTCCAAGTCGGGCATATCTGACATACAAAGAGGGGCTTCCAGTTACTTATTAGTATCAGGACAAAAGAGAGAGCTTCTAAATTTCTGTGAGAGGGTACTAATTCAGGGCTTTGGCTTGATTGATCGTGTAATTTGATAAGAAATAATTAGTACCAAAATTAAAAAGGTTATACTAGCCAATGTTATAACAAAATAAATATAACTCGGGCTAAGACTGTCAAGGATTAGACAAACTTCTAACAATCATCTTTCATAATTAGAAAAGGTTTAGGATCAATATGAAACCATAAAGAGTTAAAGTAGATATTATTTTATGTTTTTAGCATATTTCATATTCTCATATCTCATGATGCAACTGCGTCAATACGGTGAAAGCAATATTACAGTGGATTAAGTGAACTTTATTGAGACAATGGAAGCACAAATTAATTGGTAAGACGCTGCACCTGTAATAACAGGTCACGTGTCCGAGTCATCAAGAAGAGTAGGTAGAAAACTACTACTGATTCTCTTTAAAAAAAAAAAAAGAAAAGAAAAGAAAATTTGAGCATTATTGAACACAATGAGGGGATTGTTTGACAAAACCAAAACCACTCGGTATAAATAGTAATTAACCCATGAAATTACACATTAAGCAATGACAAGACAGCAAACCACTTTTTTTTTTTTTTTTGGGTTAAAATGCATACGTGAGAATTCGACAGAACTCTTTCAACCATTTCGTTTTTGCTAACAAAATTGCTGAAGTCACTCCTCACGTTCTATTATTATCATCAACTATTCAAATGTCGCATTGACTTCACGTGCTGAAGGTTGATATTGCAGGCCTACTGGATCCAATGTTTCCTAGTACAACTTATACGAGGAACACTTTATTTTAGACAGTTTATGTTTGCACCAATTTACAACAGCTTTTATTTATTTATCTTTTTGCCATTTTTATGGAAGAATTACTTAAGGATGGTAACTGCCTTCCCTAGTATTATTTAAAGCCAACTTTTTAAAAAGGATGGACAGCGCCAAATGCAGAAAATCTTTCGTCCAGAATAGCTCACTTGCTTATGTCATGAAAAAGGAAGAAAAAAAAAAAAAGAAAGAATCAGAAGAATAGCTCAATTGTGTACCAACATTATTAATGAACTTTAGAATTTAGAAGACTTCACAAATTTATTTTTCTTCTGATAATAATAGGTTTTAACTTTTATAGAACATAGAAAAGATTCTTCAGTGAAGCAGCGGCTTCAGTGATGGCTAGACTTGCAATCCACAGAACTGGAAGATTCTTCGCTGGAGATGTCATCAGTTGGCTGAATAAGATGCTTATTCTTTATGCTTCCATAAGATTCAATTTTAATCACGGGGACGCGACTGATTTTGTCGCGATCCGGTCCTCCACGCCCATCGATCCCATGAATTCTTTGGATGATGAATTCTTCAGGCATTCTAATTTCCAACTTTCTCAGTGTTGTAATAAACCTCAACCCATCAGGAATCATCTCCAGCTCTTCACAACCCGAGATTGCAAGATCAGATAGGTTAGGCATGGATCCTTGAGCCACCACCCACTTTTCCAAGTTTTTTATACGAAAGATCTCCAGAGATATGAGTTTTGGAAAAGCATTTTCATCAATAATCATCACACTTCTCTCCACCAAGTCCACAGACATCAAACTCAGTCTCCTCAAGTTTGGAAGATTTCCCAAGACACTCATTGGATCTCCTTCAATTGAACACCCCAGCAAAAGCAACTCACTGAGGTTCGAGGGGGAAAGGGGTGGTTTAACTTTTTGAAACTCACACCTTCCGCTGAATATGGTCAATTGGTGGAGACAATGGCAGGACAAAAGATCTCGAAAAGGAAGCACTACTTCTTCTTCACCATATGCACGAATCTCCAATTGAGCCTCCCGTAGCTTGTGTCGGTTGGAATTCAAGTAATTGAGCATCTGAGGAAGATCGTTCTTCTCTTTACTGATATTCATAATTGCACGGAGGAACCTTAGATTATTCAACCCTGACAAATGTTTCAAGTCTCCGACATCATTTCCAAAGCCAACTAAAGTCTCCAGCTTACTTAAGCCAAGAAAACTTAGTCGTCGGACGACTACAGAAAAATACAGATGCTTCAATCCTTTCAATTTGCACAAGACATCAGGCACCTTAATCGGATCATAGACTCGTATATCAAGTGTCTCCAGGCACTGTAATTGACCTATGGATGATGGAAGTGTCTCCAAGTCACTGTCCTTCAGACTGAGGAACCTCAAATTGACCAGCTTCTTTATTCCTTTAGGCAAACCTTTGCCCATGAAACGATAACCCTCGAATTTGAGAACCTTTACATATTTGAACTTGTTTGAATCACATATTACTTGAGGAAATGAGATCCTTACCTCCGGATATCCAGAGCCACCACCTAATGTTAAAGAGCGCAGGTGTCCACTGGCTTCCAGTGCCCTACTTATCATAGAGTCAACATCACCCAGACCATGCTTTTTACCATCTTCCACGTGAATGGAACATCTAGGAGTACTGTCGTCGCGCTCTGTAGAATAATCCGACAAGGGATCATTTCCTCCTCGAAAATCAAGCAACTTGAGAAATTCAACTTCTTTTCCACGGGCCAGGCAGAAGTCCCTCATCAGATCATGAAGGTAGCATGACTCAACCTTTCTGGATGTCGAGAACTCATCGAACTTCACTTGAAGCATTGACCTACTAGCCATCTCGTACAAGTACCTTTCAGCTACATCTGTCAGAGTTTCTCCTTTTCCGCGATGATCTGATGAGACCATCCCTTCTGCTGTCCACATTCGATACAACATCTCTGCATCTATGTCCTCATCCTCACGAAATTGCCCCAGGTAAAGAAAACATGGCTTCAAGTGGTAGGGTAGCTCGTCATAACTCAGAGCCAACACCTGCAACACGGCTCCATACCCTTGTTCTTTACCACCTTCACTCATCCTTATATACGAATCCACATCATTCTTCACTATCTCCCACTCCTCGAGTGAAGTCTTTGGAGTCAGAACTCCTCCAATTGCAGAGATTGCTAAGGGTAGGTTTCCACACTCGCGAACAATTGCCCTCCCTACTGCTTCCAACAGTGGATCACTTTCACAATCTGCAAGAGAGAAAAGTGTGAATTACGTGTCTCTATAATTTGTCAAAAAGATGTACCTTTGTTTTTTTGGATGTGAAAATGTAACTATTCTCCCAACATTTCCACTTGGTTTGGAGACTAATGCATCTAAATTTGCCAAGTAAAAAAAGCTAACAGAAATGCATACAGGTATGAACGGCATAGAATCTGTAGGAATAAGTATCAAACTTTTTATTCTGTTTTAACTAATGCAAGTCAGATATATGTACTTCACTAGAGAAAAGCTAACCTGCGCCATTTCTTTTGGCAAAAGCTCTCTTTTGAAGTAACTCCCAGCCTTCATCCTCGTTCAGAAGGTTGAGTGGATAGAGGAATTCATCTTCTACGAGTTTCTGGTTCCGAGTTGTAATCAAAATTTTGCTATCCGCCTCTGCAAATGGAAATGCTACTTTGAGACACTCCCAGTCCTCAATTTTCCACAGGTCATCAAGAACAACAAAGCTTTTTGTCTCTTTCTGCACTTTATAAAGCTCTCCTACCAATTTCCTCTCATCCATCTTCCCAACACTGTCCTTCCTCTGGTCCGGGACAAGCTGCTTCAGAATGTCTCGGAAGACGGTCATCGTATTGCACTGTTGGGTAACCGAAACCCAAGCAAACTGTTTGAAAGCACGTTCTACTTCAATGTGCTTGTAGATCTTCCTGGCAAGAGTGGTCTTACCGAGACCGCCCATCCCATGTACTGAAATAACTCGATGTGATCTAATTCCCTCATCAGTGATGAGGGACACAAGCTGTCTTATATCATCTTTCATCCCAACAAAATATTCCTCAACTTGATGGGGATAGGTTTGTCTCAGCCGCTGTTGATTCTGATCCAATCTCGCATTGGAACTTTGACCGTCTTCAGTACTGCTCAATGCAATGACGCCATAAGTTTCCAGATTCGTGGTGAGGCTGTGGATTCCTGTTTTGATGCTAGCTATCTCTGAACCAACTCTGTGAAGAGATATTCCTTCAGAAATTAGGCACGCAAATCTTCTGAAAGCCTTGCGGAAGCCGTGGCCCCTTCTCCTGGATTCGATTTCAACGGCAAACTTCTCCAAGACATCTTCAGTTCTGTAAGCAAGACGCCTGATCTCCCTGACATAATTACGGATTGTCGAATCATTCAATTGTTTTTTGTCGGCGTCTTTCAAGAAACATTGCATCCGTTTCAATTCTGCTTCAACTTCCTTGACTTGATCCGCCACTCCGCTCAAGAATCTGCCTTCTTCAACTAACAAATCCTTCACCATTCCCAAAGCAAGGGAGACAGCTTCGCTACCCATTTTGGTGCAACAAACAATAACCCACTTTTTTTCTAATTCAATTTGCTCTCTTACAAGCTGTATCTTGGATGATGGATGCCCAAAGCCAATGCAATACAAGTATGAGATTGGTTTGTACGGACTAGAACTTGTCTATGAATAGTAGTTAAATGAGATGAAATGATTGAGCAAGGCAGTCAAAATAACAAGGGATAATTTCAGAAACTTCCCCTAAGGTTTTTGACAATTTCACTAAGCTTCCCTAAGGTTTAAAAAATTACATTTACTTCCCTTGATTTGATAGTTTTAATAACAAAATCTTAAAATAATATTAACTTGATCAAATTTTTAAATGAATATATCTAAAAATGCCCTTGTGTAATGAGTTTTAATTTATTTTCTTATATAATTTAAAGATTATCTAGTATAATTACAAGAAAAATGTGCGAAAATGTTCATGTCCATACCTACTATTTGATAAATAACTATAATAATAACTTTATCCCTATAATAGGATACTTTTGATGGTATTTTATTATGGATTTAGATCTATAAGATAGAAAAGAAAATATTGAAATAATTCATTTAGAGGTATGAATTTTTTGATTAGTAGGATTATCATAATTTAATACTAATTTTGGGCCATTTATTTTTAATTTATTATTAATTTAAATACCAAAAAAATAGAAAACAAAAATCAACAAAAACATTAGATTACATATAAGTTAACTTATCCAAAAAAATCACTAATTCGATATTCGGTTATAATAGAAACTATAGGTACTAGTGCTTGTTCTACAGCTTTATTGGCAAAAAATGAAAAAAAAAAAAAGAAAAAGAAGAAAAAATAGTGAAAAAATAATTTTAAAAGTCATTCTAAATATAAGCCTACCAAACAAAGGAATTCATTAAAATATTTAAAGAGAATATTGTCATTTTCAATGATAAGAGAGGTATACATAATTTTTAAAATTTTGAGGGAGATAAATGAAATTATCATAAATCTTAAGAGAGGTTTCTAAAATTATCCCAAATAACAATAGAAAAGTATAGTACTACTTTACATACTAAGGTACACTGAGAGAATATGCTTCAAAAAACCAAAAAGGAAGAATGAGATAATGCATAGGTGTAAACCGTAAGGCCGAGAAGGGAAAAGCAAAAATAGAGTATCATTGGAAATATTATTTAGAATAATTATTATAACACTTTTTATGATATAATATATATATATATATAATAAAAAATGATTAAAATAAAAAAAATAAATTAAGAAATATATTTATGATGCAAGTAAAATATTATTTAAAAAAATTTGACATCCAAACATTGCTATAACGGATATGGGGCAGGGACGGTCATCAGGCGGACCGTTCCTAAACAGTCCTCTCATAAAAGGGAATGAGAGGACTGTAATGGACCACGTGTAATGGAAGCAGCAGTAAAAGAAAATGACGCTGCTTCACTAAGTGAGTAGGGAAACAAATTAAAAAAAAAAGACATATGAGTGGCTAACGGGTTCCATTAAAAAACCTCAGCTTCCGTTCCAAAATTCCCACTCAAATTAATGAGGCACAACTATTCTTCTGAAATCTTCAAATGAAATAGACTTTTGGTCTTCCTCCAAAAACTTATCTTGTGAGCATTCCTTCACAATTTCAAAATATCGACAGAATAATATCCTTGTCCCAAATTGGAAGTTTTAGATGAGAGGTTTTTGGAGGAAGTGTTGCAGAAACATGGTGTCACCGGTCAATGTACTCACTTCTCAAAAGACTTTTTTATTTGCATTTTCTCTAACATGGGCTAAAATTGCTATCAAAATCTTAAATTCAAGGGAAGTTAGTGCTATTTTTCAAATCTTACGAGAGGTGAGTACAACTGTCAGATATTTCAAAAGAGGTTTTTGCAATTATCCCATTAAAATTACCTAATTCGGAGGAGGAGGCTGACAGATATTTAGCTAAGAGTAGCGGCTTCATTTGGATTTCTGAAAAACAAATTTTTCATATACAATACTATAATAATACACAAACAAAAGTTTTTTATTTTCGTTCTATATTCTATAAAACCCCATCCCCCCCCCCCCCCCCCTCTAGGGTCATTTCCTATAAGTTGTTTGTCCCTCGAGGTATTTAAACGAAAATGGGGCAAGGTGGATTTTTAACCTAGACAGTTAAAGTATTTGATAACTGTAATGCATTTGCATACACGAAATTTTGGTGGTGCAAAATCGCAGTGCTTTAGATGTACTTTTGATTCCACTTCTACAGAAAACTATCGATGGCTTCCCGCCTTGCTTTCCATCAATTGTTGGGTTCCCCTCTTAGATTTCCTCTATTGACTTTATTATTGTTTTGTCAATACTTGAAACGCGCGTTTCCTCTATTGACTTTTTTGGCTATTGCTTTCCTCTATTGACTTGAAACGCGCGCTTTAAGCACAAACACGTGCTCAACAAGCTAATGTATTGACTACGTAAAATGTTGAAGCAATAAACTATATCACTATTGCCTGGGTTGTTTATTACTAATAATCATCCGTTTGCTGTTGCTTCTTGTTGTCTTGTCCTTGCTGTCATAGTTGTTGAGTGTTTTATTCCTTCAAAAACAAAAAAAAAAGACTCGAAAGCCATTAATTTCATTAAATTTTTCCTTCATTATGAGATTCTTCAAATCATGTATTAGATTATATATATGTATATTTTTTGTTCTTTTTATTTATTTATTTATCGAGGTCATGTGTATTCTCATAATTTATTGATCTTTCAAGTCCATCGAAAACTCGAGGGAACAAGGCCATGTGCATTAATTGGGAATTGAATTTTTTTTTATACTATCAATTATATGTTAATAATTGGAAGGAAATATTCTATTCTTTTTTTTTTTGTCGACACGATAGAATTCGTATAACCTAAACTAGCTACTCGATGTGAGTAGAAACTCCATCGAAACTGGTCAATGAAGACCGTCACATATTGTGACAAATTTTGTGAGAGGCAAGATTTAAACCCTTGACCTCCCGCACCACCAAGGCTAAGAAGACTTGGGATGACCACTGGACCAAAGGGCCAATGGCGGAAAGTGGAATTCTATTCGGGGAACATTTTACTGTTTCTTGCATTAATTGGTGCATTAATTGGTATTAGGTAGTCAATACCATTTCTTTATCAAGAAATTAGTTTATACCCATAAGTTGAACTCTTTAATGACTTTGATGGCCATTTCTCCCTAGATCTATCTCTCTCCCCCCACTAATGAGTGTTCCAAAAGAATAATAATACTATTTCTTTGGATCAGAGATTGTGAACTCTAAGATATTCAACCAAATAAAGTATGATTTCTAGTTGGCAAATAGTTGATGGCATGAATAGGGACACAAAAATGGGAATGATCCCGGAAGCAACAAAAGCATCTAACAAAGGTTAACAAAAGTTTTTTAGTTACAAAAGCATCTAATAATACCCCCACTTTTATTTAGTTTTTTTTTTTTTTTTTTTTTTAACAAAAGTTCCTCAACTTGGAAGGTGGTGACTGACTGAGTGATATGACTATTTTGAAGCCTCACTTACAATTCCCTGCAGGAATAGTAAATTATGCAACGAAACTGATGATTTTCCAGGGATAGGGCATAATGATCGAGAAGACGCATTCCACAAAGTTCATCTCTGACAAGGGATTTTTTTTTTATAAAAAAATTAGACTGGTCTATTCTATTCTTACATCTACTTTAATCTACACTAATGGGAGACCCAATGAATCCTAGAGAAATCGATGAAAATTGAACTATTGTCGAACCAAACTAATATTAAAGGTATACAAAATTGATACTAATATGAAGCGTGGCAAGTAAGAATGCACCTTACGTTATACAATTTTTTTTAAGGCCTGGTATTTCATTTGTACATGTAATTAAACCTGTGTGGCAGATTAATGACTCTCTTCAGTCTTAGATTCAAGCAATACTTGAGAGTTTTCTTCATACAATTAAAATGGACAACCTTATGCATCCTAAAATATTGAAAATCTTCACTACTCAAGCTGGATCTTGCATACTACACTTCCTTAATATTTTGGTTTTTTTCTTATTATGGTTTCATTGTTATTTTGTAGCCCTAGCTACGATGCCTTTTTGGTGGATCCAAGACTTCAAGTCCATGCCATGATTTTCTCACTGTGTCTCCTTTATGTCATTTGTATGGGTAAGCTCGACAACAATACTACAAAGATCAAGAAAATTCATGCATATTCTACAATAAACGCAAGTATGGTCCATCCATCGTATTCCGATACACTGAGTTGACTATGATATTAAACGAAAATCCTCCGATTTTTTTTTTGTCCCTTTTAGTAAGCTTCTCCAAACCCTTGAACATGCATAATACAATTAAAGTTGTGGCACAGACCTCGTAGCTGAATAGTATTGGTTATTTGAGGCCTCTAAATCAACTTTTGTTGGTTAATTTTTTCTAAAATATTTGGGTAATAAAACTAAGGAAAAGATTAAAAAAAATCATAGCTATGTAGTATAATATTGCTAATGTTATGACCTTGTTTGGATTGCCAATTTCTTTCAAATTTTTTTTTATATTTTTCATGAACACATTTTCTAATCAACTTTTTATCTTGCATACATCAAATCATTATAGCATATTTTTTCTTACAAAACTTGACAAACTAGCAATCCAATAATACCAATCATATACACAATTTATAAATTACAAGATACTAGCTACTACACACAATTTATTAAATTGATACCTTTTTTTTAGATACTGCTAGTGTAAAGATTTTTTTTACACAAGCAGATTTTGATCATACTACATAACATGAATTCAAATTTAAAATTTAATTCATGCGCATGTGACATATATTCTACGCTATTAGTATAAAAAACTGTAGGGGTCCCTAGTGCAAGCTACACCTTGACAATGTGGACTAAGGGCTAGCTCTTCGTTTGTGCCCATAATGGACTTAAGCCCACACCATCTGAATACCAGGGCATGTTCACAACTCCAACCCCGTATCAAATTATAAGGCCGCCAGTGTCATGAGTGTGACCCTTTGTGGCCCATTTCTTTTTGGATGATGGATTCCTCAATGCATGAATAAATAACAACTGAAAATCAGATGAACTGTCAGTTGTCAGTCCAAAATTCGGAATGCATCAGGCCATTAGATGTTGCCGCTCGTTGGATCTAGAATGGGTCATGGTGCAGAAATAAGGTCCTCTGAACTGGGCTTCTACATGCTAGGTAGACTCTAGTGCCTAGTTTGGGAGTTTAGGATGGATAAGAGAAGGAGAAAAAGTTGCGTAATTAGAAAAGAAAAGAAGAGAACTTTTGACAAAAAAAAAAAAAGAAAAGAAGAGAAGAGAAAAGATTGTTATATCCTTTCATATTATTTGGAAGATTTGGGAGCGGAAAAGAAAGAAGTGATTTTACTTTGTTTAGGAGTGAAGATGAGTAGAAGGAAAAATTTTTTATTTTACAATAGTAAAATATAATTTGGAACTCGTTTATTAATATAATTTAATTTCACATCGCAAATATCAGGGGTAAAACTGGTACACTAAAAAAGTTACTAAAGTCCCTTTCTTGCATGGATGGAAGATTTTTTGGCTTGTGGAGGGATTTCAGGTCCCACCCTTTTCTTCTTCTTTCTTTTGTTATTAAAACTTCCAAACAAAAGGATGCCTCCACTTTCTTTCTAACTCCTTTCTTTTCTCTCCAAATCAGTTCTCCCAAACTAGCTGTAAGCTTTACAAGCGAAAAGGGCAAAAGGAAAGCTTGAGACTTGAGGATAGATTTCACGAGTAACTAATCAATGTCCTTACTAACAAGAGTTAGGTATTAAAAAGGAAATGTCCAATTTCACCTCTAACTCCAGTGAGGAAACTCATGCATTGAAACGAGCTTGAATTCGCAATTCGCCGTGGCTTATTACTTTGTCCAAAACTTGGATAGACCTAATTTTTAAAGATCCAATGAACTAATTTGTGCCATATAATTTAGTGAAATGATATGATACAATTTGATCATTGAATTTTTGAATATCGGATCTGACCAAGTATGAGCCTATTAATTTAACCATTCATGTGACCAAAATGGCTATGGTGATAGATGGTAAAGAGCCAATTGCCATAAAATAGTGGTTCTGTGATTGCCCTTAACTTCATTTTAATAGAAAAAGGAGGACATGCTATGTTTTTTTTTTTTCAAGAGTTTAATATGCAGAACTATTTGTGTGATAAGTTCATTATTGTTGCTATGAAAAGGAAGCAAATATTAAAGTCAATTTGGGTCATCAAGTATAGTTTATGAACATCAATCATCATGTATGACCTCCTTAGAATTTTCTGGACATGTAAAACACAGTATGAACAAAAGAAGTCTATCGAACAATTTGTGATTAACCGGTCAAACAATTTGACAATACCTTTCCAACTACTCGATATTTTTTAATCTCAAAACCAGAATAATACTTGTTCTGCAGCCTGTAATAATAATCCAGATCAAACCGGCTGACATGGGTATCAGGTATACAAGAAATCAAGAAATAGACAACTGAAAAAGAAGTTACTTTGATTACATATCCAATCTGCAATCTCATCGTCCGACAATGGCATCCGAACCATTTTAGATTTGTCATGCGCTAGAACCCTTTCTTGAAGTAGCCAACTTCATTACTTCCTCACGTTTTTTTGGCAAGTCTTCAAGTCGTCCTTCTGAAGAGGGACCAGCAGTTTCTTCTGAGAAATCTCTGATAGCCAACAATCTACCGAACACCCTTAGACAGAAGATTTGTCAAGACAAGGCAGATTCAATCAGTGTGGAAAAATATAAGATTGAGCTTTGATCCGTCAATACTCAATAGTTTATTGAAAAAATCAAAGTCTAACATAATAAGTCATGTCAATGTAAACTGAGTAAAAACTTCCCCCAGTGCCAGGAAGGAGGCACATTGTTACTCTACTATCAACTTGGCTAAAAGAACTCGTCAATTTTTAATCAAGATAGTAGAAAAGTCCGCAAACAGGTCATTGCTGTCTGCATATAAATCTCCTTCCCCTGGTGGATCAAATATTCCCAATTTAACTCGTTGTTTTATAGGCAGAGTTTCCAACTGTCTATCAATGGCTATCCCTCTTCAAAAGATAAGATTATCATTGAAGGAGCATAAGCAGGAGACAATCATCTCCACTACACCATGCAATTGGTCAAGAAATTCATTTTTTCCTGGGGTAGTAGGAAGAGGCAGTGCACGAAAAAGTCTTGTTACAACCAAAGTGGTACCAAAGAATGACTCACCAATCAGAGTTTCCGACTCTGAAAGGATGAAAGCTAAAGAAGGGGATGAAGAAAGAGTTGCTCTAACTAAAGAGCCAAAAAGAAAGTTGGCTGATGCCTGGAGAGAAATTCATGGTCAAAATGATTGGGCAGGCATGCTTGATCCCCTTGATCCACTCTTGCGAGCTGAGCTGATGCGCTATGGGGACATGGCACAAGCATGTTATGATGCCTATGAATTTGATCCATATTCCAAGTACTGCGGAAGCTGTAAAGTCAAACCAAGCATGTTCTTCGAAAACCTTGGCTGGAACAAGTGTGGTTACGAGGTAACAAGCTATATTTATTCAACCTACAATGTCAACTTCCCAAAGTTCTTCAACGTCTCTCTGAATCCAGATGGATGGAGCCATTCAGCTAATTGGATTGGCTATGTTGCTGTGTCAAATGAAGAGTACTCGAAATATCTAGGGCGCCGCGACATAATGATTGCTTGGAGGGGCACGGTGACAAATGCTGAGAAGATTGCAGATCTGATGGACTTCCAGAACCCAACCACATACCACACGATTCCTAGCCGCGATCCAACCATAAAAGTAGAGGCAGGATTCTTGGACCTCTACGCAGGCAGAAACGTAGATTGTCAGTATTGCAAGTACTCAGCCCGGGAACAAGTTTTAGCTGAAGTGAAGAGATTAAAAGAACTGTACCCTGGCGAGGAATTAAGCATAACGATTACAGGGCACAGTCTTGGTAGTGCCTTGGCAACATTGAATGCTTATGATATAGCAGAAATTGGTCTAGATGTAATGGAAGACGGAAGAGTAATTCCTGTGACCGTGTTCTCATTCTCTGGTCCAAGAGTTGGAAATGCAAGATTCAAGGAGCGATTGGAGGGTTTAGGGGTGAAAATACTAAGAATTTTTAACGTCCATGACCAGGTGCCTAAGGTACCAGGAATTTTCTTGAACGAACTTGTACCAAAAGTGCTGCAACAGCTTGGAGGATGGTTACCATGGTGCTATTTTCATGTTGGTGAGGAGCTGCCCTTGAATCACGAAAACTCGCCCTTTCTGAAAGATGAAAGCAACCTGGTGTTCTTCCACAATTTGGAGGTCCTGCTGCATTTGCTTGATGGGTCAGTACATTAATTATTTCCGAATTCTTTTTTATTTTCAAAATTAAGGAAAGGAAAGAACTCTCTTAAAACACTTCAGCTACTCTCTCTGTGTGTGATGTAACAGATACCATGGCAAGGGTCGAAGATTTTGGCTTGCAGGTGGGAGAGACATTGCACTGGTGAACAAAACAACAGACTTCTTGAAGAGGGATTTCCTAATTCCACCAAATTGGTGGGAAACAAACAACAGAATGCTCTTCAAAAATCATTTGGGACAATGGGTTATGCCGGAACAGCATGATCTTGAGATCCACACCCCATCGGAAGATGTACAACATCACCTCCAACAGTTGAATCTAGCATGTCATGCCCAATGGCATTAGCTTTGTACCAGTGCCCCACTGATATAATTATTCAAGGTTCCTTTCCCACTTGAAATTTAATACTAACGGAGACAAAGGAATAATTAGTCCACCGGGTAGCCATAACCACGGAAATAATAAGAAAAGCACATAATTTTTCATCCATTTTATATAGTAAGTACTGATTTATTCAGCTGCTTCCATCGGTTGCAGCTAAGCAATTTATTTTTATTCTCTTTTGGCACTTTCTGGTTGAGGCAGCCAATAATGTTGTTGTGTTTAATACATCATACCCCATAGGGTATTTATTTTATTTATTAATCGAGCAAAACCAGAATCAATGCTTACAACAATAAGACCAAATCAACCAAATAACAAATCAAGAAAAGGTCAAAAAACAAGAAACAAAAAGTTAACAATTACTATCACTATTGATACATTAGAAAAAGTTTTTTTTTTTAATTTTTTTTCCAACAGAAGAGGAATATAATTTAAGAAATGGGACAAGACAAGAGAACTTAAATTCGAAATATCTAATTTCTGAGTCTCAACTTTAGCTACTATAGCAATGCCTCGGAAAGAAATGGTCGTAGATTCGTTTATAGGTCATTGCTATTTGACTAGCACAAAATTAGTACATAAAATAACTAGAACGACGTCGTCGAAACCATTATTCATCCCTTTCCATTTGATAATCACGTGATTTATCACGTGATCAAAAAGCTTGCCTTCTCGGTTGTTCTCTCAACGTTTATTTATTCCTTTTTTGGTTTTCTTCTTGCTTCCTAAGCTTCGTTTGGAGGCTGAGGATTTGGACAAACAAGAAAGGGAAAGAAGAGAAAATTTAGTTTTCTTTTGTTTACTAGCTTTCAGTAAAAAAGAAAAGAAAGGAAATGAGAAGGAGAACGAACAGTAACCAAAACTTTCCCTTCTAAATTAGATGAAAATAAAAAAAAAACTTTGAAAAAACTTGTCATATTTTTTTAAAATACATATTTTGTCCTTAAAAAAATTTTAAATAAATATTTAATAATTTTTATATCCAAAATCATTCCATTAATTCTTAAAACTCCCCAGCATAGGAATCCTTTTCTCGTGTCCTCTCTTCTCTCGTAACTTTTAAGTTTTTGCTTCTTTTCTTTTCTATCCTAAACTCCCAAACTAAGCCTAAGTTTCCGGTCACCTGATGGATTGGTCTGCCTACTGATTATGCCCAAAACCCCCACAAGAAGTACCAAAACCCAGACCCATTTAAGATTTTTCTCCTAAAACCCATGTTTAAAATTAAAAATCCAAAAAGGTTTCCCCTCAAAAACCCCTTCTCATCTCATCCCTTGAGCTGAAATTTTCTTTTCCATGGATTTCATCGAATTGGAAGCAATTGAAGGCCTCAGATGGTCATGGAACTCGTGGCCCACAACCAAATCCGAGGCTGCAGCTCTGGTAGTCCCTTTATCAATTTTGTGTACTCCTTTAACTCAATTCGGTGACCTCCCTATACTTCCCTATGACCCTTTGATTTGCTCCAAGTGTGGCGCCGTTTTGAACCCGTATGCCCGGGTCGATTACCAGAGTAGAATCTGGTATTGCTCGTTTTGTAATGGAAGAAACCCATTTCCAAAGTCTTATCTTGGAATTAATGAAAACAGTATCCCAGCGGAGCTTTTTCCCACTTATAGTACTGTGGAATATCATTTGGGGAAAAAATCGATGAATTTGGGGCACAACCCGCAAAACCCGGGCTTTGGTTCCGGGCCCGGTTATGGCAATGGGTTGGTTTTGTCTGGTTCAAGTTCGATTTCGAGAATGGGATCGTTTTCTAGCTCAAATTCTTCATTGGCGGGGTTGGACTGGGCCGGGTCGGGCTTTGTCCCGGGACCTGCTTTTGTGTTCGTTGTGGATGTGTGTACTGCTGAGGCGGAGCTTAGGGTGTTGAAGAGTGAGTTGTTGCATGTGATCACGCGGTTGCCAGAGAATGCTCTTGTGGGGTTGGTGGTTTTTGATTCTTTGGTCAGGGTTTATGATCTTGGGTTTTCAGAGTGTTTCAGGGTGGTGCTGTTTCATGGTGAGCGCGAGATATCGTCCGAGCAGGTACATTGATTGCCAGTGCTAATATCAGTGATTGCATTTGGTTATTACATTCAGTGCTTATTTATTTGAAACTGTTTAGAACCATAGTTTATTGGGCTTTTATCTCATGTATTGTGTGGCCTAATGAGGATTTCAAAATGTATGAGCAGTAATTCAGTTTAAAGAATAAAATGATTGGTAATGTGCAACTTGAAATGAGAGACAAGAAATATGGATGGTTGTTGGTGATTCTCTGCTGGTACAAGTTTAGAATCTGAATGTGTGATAGTAGATGTGAGTTTTTCTGTGGTATAGCTTTGTACAAAATCTGATTTGTGGGCTCTCTGACGCACTTGCTTCAAACAATTGTTTAACTAATAGACAATAATTTACTCAAGAGCAACGCCATTTTAATGAAGTCTATACTGTTGTGGGTGCTTTTATGCTGTTTCTTTCCTCAGACTCCATATTTATAGATGCATCTGGGTATGAACTGACTAGACAAATTAGCTTCCCCCTCTCTTCCCCTTATACTGTGGTTGAGCTGATACATTTCTTTTTGCATGCAATTATCTTCTTTCTGCCGAAACTTTTAATGCTAATTAACTAATTAACCTGGATCACACCATCTTAATCTGCAAGCTAGAGTATTTTTTGACTGCCTTTATTCATGTGTTCAAAGTTCACATGCTCTTGTTTGAGCATTTGTCTCTTTCTAAGTTCCTATAGGCCTTCCCTAGTCTAGGAAGGTATGATTATTTTCCCTGAAAGTGTTTGCAGCATGTTGGAAACATTTATTTCCAGTCATGTCTTTTTATGTTATGCTGCGTGTCTGTAAATGTTGTATTTCTGATACTGTATGTGTGGAAAGTTATGGCTACAAGTGCAGATAGTGGTGCATGCACTGGTCATCTCTCGAATTCTTATAATCGGTTCAGATATACCTCATATCATTCTCTAAGTCTCTCATGTGAAGTCTAATTAGTGTGATTGATTGCTTAAGCAGTAATATAAATGAATCTTTCTTTGTGATTTTTATGATGTATTTACTTAACCAGATACTTGTCAGAATGCTTATCACATGAGTGTGATAGAACATTTTGTTCGAGTGTAACATGTAGTGGTCGTTTGTCTCTAGACGAAACAGCTGTTGGGGATTCATCACATAAAGCAGCAACTTGGAAAGACATCAACAGTTCATAAACAGGGATTCCTATTGCCAGTATCTGAGTGCGAGTTCAGTTTCACGAATGCCATTGAAGATCTTCATTCTTCACCGCAGGCTCTCGCTGGTCATCGTCCATTACGGTCCACAGGGGTAGCAATATCAGTTGCAGTTGGACTATTAGAAGGATGCTTCGTTAGTTCAGCTTCACGAATCATGGTTTTCACTTCTGGCCCGGCAACTATTGGCCCAGGCATCATTGTAGCTTCAGATTACAGTCATGCCATCAGGACCCACCGAGATATCGATAGTGGTTATGCTCCTCATTACATAAAGTCCTGTGAATTCTACAAGCGATTATCGAAGAGGTTATGTGATTCTTCAGTTGTGCTCGATCTTTTTGCTTGTTCATTAGATCAAGTTGGAGCAGTGGAGCTAAAGGTCCCTGTTGAGAGCTCTGGTGGATTCATGATGTTAGGGGAGTCATTTGACTCTGAAAAATTCAGAAAGTGCTTGAATCACATATTCATCCATGATGAGGAAGGGAATTTGAACATGTGCTTTGATGCTACTATAGAGTTAGTAACCACGAAGGACGTCAAAATCTGTGGAGCTTTGGGTCCCTGTGTTTCTTTGCAGAAAAAGAACAGTTCTGTGAGTGACAAAGGGATTGGGGAGAGTGGTACATATGTTTGGAAGCTAGGTACACTCAATAAAAAAACATGCATTGCTTTCTTCTTTGAAGTGGGCCATGAACAACACATCCAACCTAACTCTGCATTTTTCATACAATTCATAACTCAGTACAGATATGGGAATATGGGGATTCGCAAGAGAGTGACCACTGCTGCTCGAAGGTGGGTTGGGAATCACTCACCAGAAATTCATGCTGGGTTTGATCAGGAAGCAGCTGCTTCAGTGATGGCTAGACTTGCAATCCACAGAACGGAAAGATTTTTCGCTCGAGATGTTATCAGTTGGCTGGATAAGAAGCTTATTCTTTTTGCTTCAAAGTTCGGGCAGTATGTGCAGGAGGATCCATCTTCCTTCCATCTGGCATCCAACTTCTCCCTTTATCCGCAATTTATGTATCATTTAAGGAGGTCTCAGTTCATTGATGTGTTTAATAGCACTCCAGATGAGACTGCGTTTTTCAGGCTTATGCTAAATCGTGAGGGTGTGGTTGGCTCTCTACTAATGGTCCAGCCTACCCTTTTTCAGTATTCATTTGAAGGACCACCAATCCCTGTTCTTCTAGATGTTTGCTCTATCTTCCCTGATGTGATACTGCTCTTTGATTCCTATTTTAATGTCGTGATTCACTATGGATCTAAGATTGCGCAATGGAGGAAGCTTGGTTATGATAGGGACCCCAACCACGAGAACTTTCGAAAGCTGCTGGAAGCTGTTGACCTTGACGCAAAGCACCTAGTGGCTGAACGGATTCCAGTGCCAAAGCTCATAAAGTGTGACCAACACAGTAGTCAGGCAAGATTTCTTCTTGCCAAGTTGAATCCATCAGTGACACAGAACTCAACATGTACAGATGGTTCGGAGATTATTTTTACTGATGACGTGAGCCTGCAAGTGTTCATTGATCACTTGCAAGCTTTGGCTGTGCAGGGCTAATGGAGTGTTATTAGTTACGAGCTGTTACCGGAAAACCGTCATATTGTTGTATAGCACTGTAAAGAGGAAAGGCGTTTGTTTGTTAATGAAAAGAAGGGCATGGGATTAACAGGTGTTTTTTAAGTTTACCCCTTCTGGACCGTGTTGTTATGGTGGGGCATATGTAGCTGTAAATGCTTTTCTGGTAAGAGTTATACGTAGTTGAGCGCATAAGCACTATTTTGAAGTGGAAGAAATTTCCCTTGGCATTACAGGGTATTCTGGACTGATGCAGAGCAAGTCCAAATCTGACATATCTGACGTACAAAAGCGGGGTTTCCAGTTACTTATTAGTATTGGGACGAAAGAAAGAGCTTCTAAATTTTTGCAAGGGAAAAATAGCGAGGTTTGGGTACTAATTCAAGGCGTTGGCTTGATTGATCGTGTAAATTGATAAGAAAAAATTAGTACCAAAATTAAAAAAGTTAAACTAGCAAATGCTATAACAAAATAAATGTAACTGGGGCTAAGACTGTCAAGGATTAGACGAACTTCTTAACAATCATCTTTCATAATTAGGAAAGGTTTAGGATCAATACGAAACCATAAAGAGCTAAAGTAGATATCATTTTTATGTTTTTGGCATATCCCATGATGCAACTATATCAATATTGCTTTCGCAATATTACAGTGGATTAAGTGAACATTATTGAGACAATTGAAGCGCAATTTGATTGGTAACACGCTGCACCTGAAATTGACAGACCACGTGTCCGAGTCATCAAGAAGAGTAAATAGGAAACTATTATTGATTCTCTTTAAAAAAAAATGTGAACATTATGGAAAACAATGAGGGGATTGTTCAATGAAACCAAAACCACTCGGTATAAATAGTAATTAACCCATGAAATTACACATTAAGCAATGACATGAAAGCAAACCAGTTAATTTGGCACTTTCAGACTATAAAAAGCAAACCAGCCCATCAATCCCATGAATTCTTTGGAGGGAGGAGTAAGTCCTACATATGATAATAATAGGTTTTAACTTTTATAGAACATATAAAAGATTCTTCAGTGAAGCAGCGGCTTCAGTGATGGATAGCAGTTGCAGTCCCCAGAACTGTAAGATTCTTCGCTCGAGCTGTCATCAGTTGGCTGGATAAGAAGCTCGCTCTTTTTGCTTCCATAAGATTCAATTGCAATCACGGGGACGTGACAGATTTTGTCATGATCCGGTCCTCCACGCCCATCGATCCCATGAATTCTTTGGACGATGAATTCTTCAGGCATTTTAATTTCCAACTTTCTGAGTGTTGTAATAAACCTCAGCCCATCAGGAATCATCTCCAGTGCTTCACATCTATCGATTGTAAGATGAGATAGGTTAGGCATGCATCCTTCAGCCACCACCCACTTTTCTAAGTTTTTTATGCCAATGATCTCCAGAGATGCGAGTTTTGGAAAAGCATTTGCATCAATAATCATCACTTTTCTATCCACCAAGTCCACAAGAAGAAAAAGCAGTCTCCTCAAGTTGGGAAGATCTCCCAAGACACTCATTGGATCTCCTTCAATTGAACACTGCAGCAAACTTAGCTCACTGAGGTTCGAGGGGGAAAGGGGTGGTTCAACTTTTTGAAACTCACACCTTCCCCACCACAAGCTCAATTGGTGGAGACAGTGGCAGGACAAAAGATCTAGAAAAGGAAGCAATACTTCACCGGATGCATAAATCTCCAATTGAGCCTCCCGTAGATTGTGTCGGTTGGAATTCAAGTATTTGAGCATCTGAGGGAGATCGTTCTTCTCTTTACGGATATTCACAATTGCACCGAGGAACCTTAGATTATTCAACCCTGACAAATGTTTCAAGTCTCCGACATCATCGTCAAAGCCAACTAAAGTCTCCAGCTTACTTAAGCCAAGAAAGCTTAGCTATCCACCTTCTACTTCTGTCCTTGGAGAAAAATACAAATGCTTCAATCCTTTCAATTTGCACAAGACATCAGGCACCGTAATCGTAGGAAAGACTCGTATATCAAGTGTCTCCAGGTACTGTAATTGACCTATGGATGATGGAAGTGTCTCCAAGGCACTGCCCTTTAGACTGAGGAATCTCAAATTGACCAGCTTCTTTATTCCTTCAGGCAAACCTTTGCCCATGAAACGATAACCCTCGAATTTGAGAACCTTTACATATTTGAACTTGGTTGAATCACATATTACTTCAGGAAATGAGATACTTGCCGTGCGACGTTCAGTTCCACCACTTAATGTTAAAGAACGCAGTTGTCCACTGGCTTCCAGTGCCATACTTATCATAGAGTCAACATCACCTAGACAATGCTTTTTACCATCTTCCATGTGAATGGAGCATCTAGGAGTACAGTCGTCGCGCTCTGTAGAATAATCCGACAAGGGATCATTTCCTCCTCGAAAATCAAGCAACTTGAGAAATTCAACTTCTTTTCCACTGGGCCAGGCAGAAGTCCCTCATCAGATCATGAAGGTAGCATGACTCAACCTTTCTGGATGTCGAGAACTCATAAAACTTCACTTGAAGCATTGACCTACTAGCCATCTCATACAGGTACCTTTCAGCTACATCTGTCAGAGTTTCTCCTTTTCTGCGATGATCTGATGAGACCATCCCTTCTGCTGTCCACATTCGATACAACATCTCTGCATCTATGTCCTCATCCTCACGATATTGCCCCAGGTAAAGAAAACATGGCTTCAAGTGGTAGGGTAGCTCGTCATAACTCAGAGCCAACACCTGCAACACGGCTCCATACCCTTCTTCTTTGCCACCTTCACTCATCCTTATATACGAATCCACATCATTCTTCACTGTCTCCCACTCCTCGAGTGAAGTCTTTTGACTCAGAACTCCTCCAATTGCAGAGATTGCTAAGGGTAGGTTTCCACACTTGCGAACAATTGCCCTCCCTACTGCTTCCAACCGTGGACCACTTTCACAATCTGCAAGAGAGAAAAATGTAAATTGTGTGTCTCTATAATTTGTCCAGATGTACCTTTGTTATTTTTGGATGTGAAAATGTAACTATTCTCCCAACATTTCCACTTGGTTTGGAGACTAATGCTTCTAAATTTGCCAAGTAAAAAAGGCTAACAGAAACTAATGCATACAGGTATGAACGGCATAGAATCTATAGGAATAAGCATCAAACTTTATATTCTGTTTTAACTAATGCAAGTCAGATATATGTACTTCACTAGAGAAAAGCTAACCTGCGCCATTTCTTTTGGCAAAAGCTCTCTTTTGAAGCAACTCCCAGCCTTCATCCTCGTTCAAAAGGTTGAGTGGATAGGGGAATTCAACTTCTGCGAGTTTCTGGTTCCGAGTTGTAATCAAAATTTTGCTATCCGCCTCTGCAAATGGAAATGCTACACTGAGACGCTTCCAGTCCTCAATTTCCCACAGGTCATCAAGAACAACTAAGCTTTTTGTCTCTTTCTGCACTTTATAAAGCTCTCCTACCAATTCCCTCTCATCCATCTTCTCAACACTTTCCTTCCTCTCGTCCGGGACAAGCTGCTTCAGAAGGTCTCGAAAGACAGTCATCGTATTGCACTGTTGGGTAACCGAAACCCAAGCAAACTGTTTGAAAGCACGTTCTACTTCAATGTGCTTGTAGATCTTCCTGGCAAGAGTGGTCTTACCGAGACCGCCCATCCCATATACTGAAATAACTCGATGTGATCTAATTCGCTCATCAGTGATGAGGGACACAAGCTGTCTTATATCATCTTCCATCCCAACAAAATATTCCTCAACTTGATGGGGATAGGTTTGTCTCAGCCGCTGTTGATTCTGATCCAATCTCGCATTGGAACTTTGCCCGTCTTCAGTACTGCTCAATGCAATGACACCATAAGTTTGCAGATTTTTGGTGATGCTGTTGATTCCTGCTATGATGCTAGCTATCTCTGAACCAACTCTGTGAAGAGCCGTTCCTTCAGAAACTAGGCCCGCAAATCTTCTGAAAGCCTTGCGGAAGCCGTGGCCCCTTCTCCTGGATTCGATTTCAACGGCAAACTCCTCCAAGACATCTTCAGTTCTGTAAGCAAGACGCCTGATCTTCCTGACATAATTACGGACTGTCGAGTCATTCAGTTGCTTTTTGTCGGCGTCTTTCAACAATCGTTGCATCCCTATCAATTCTACTTCAAGTTCCTTGACTTGATCCGCCACTCCGAACAAGAATCTGGCTTCTTCAGCTAACAAATCCGTCACCGTTCCCAAAGCAAGGGTGACAGCTTCGCTAGCCATTTTGGTGCAACAAACAATAACCCACTTTTTTTCTAATTCAATTTGCTCTCCTACAAGCTGTATCTTGGACGATGGATACCCAAAGCCAAAATAATACAAGTATAAGATTGGTTTGTGCGGGCTCTAAAAATAGTTTTTTTTTTTTTTGTCGACACAGGGGTGTTCGGGTCAAGACCCGAAGGCGGCCCGACTAATCCCCTGCGGCCCGAGAGGAGAGACCCCATCCCCTGAACACGATAACCCTGCACGACTCGAACCCCTGGCAAGCACTCCTAAAGAGGCGTACGCTGCCAGACGAGCTGCCCAGGAGGGGCGGCTCTAAAAATAGTTAGTTGAGATGAAATAATTGAGCAAGGCAATTATTTTCCCCTGTACAGCACGACGGCTGTGGTCGCACATGGTTTCTAAAAGATAAGTCCGTACGATCTAGATAATATTTCATCATTTTTTAAAAGATTTTATTTAATATATAAGTGAGAGATTTCGAATCCAAAACTTTTACTTTCGCTTCTTTCCCTATCACCTAATCCATCCCGCTCCTCGTGTATTTCATCATGTTTCTTATCAAGGCCGAAATGTTGTTGAAGTTGAATTATTTTTTGTTGGGTGGACATAGGGAATTAATTATTGACAGAATTTCTTTAAACTTCAGCATAGCTTTAGCTTTAGATAGTTGTTAAGTTAATCTTCTATCCACAGCCAATGAATACTAAATTAAGGCATACGGCCGGTATTTAAATAGCAGAGGGACAAGGCAGAATTTTGCATTTACCCAATACATAATAAAAAGGTTAGAGTTGAGAGGAGAAATTTAGGATCCTGATTCTCCGCAAGTGCAAAAAAAAAAAAAAAAACAAAATTTTGATTAATAAAAATAAAGATGAGAAGAGGACTCCCCCCGTAGGACCCCAATTTTGGAGAAGAAAAGATTGGTGGTTGGGGACAGGAAACGAATTGAGTTCTGTCTAGTTCAATTCAATTTGTATGAACTGACAAATTTTACAATTACACCAAAATTGTGCAAACTTATACCAAATTTAGATTGGTTTAAATCAGCCGGACAGAAATAAACAAAAATTAAAATATTTTAATTTAGAGGATTGGACAGTATCATTAAAATTAATGTGGTGAAGTAAATCATTGGGGACTTTAGTCTTCACATAATTATGAACCGTTTCTTGGTTGCATTAATTGTAGTATTGTGAACTCTTATGCTCATTTAGCTTAATCATTTGCATAGTAGTATTTTTTTTTTTTGGTCGGTACTTAAAAAAAGATATTATGTTTTGATCTCAAACGTCACCAACCACAGTTAAACACAATGCAGATGTAATCAGCCCACAGAAAATATTAATGCTGGTATGTAAATGCGTTGAAGTCAAGATTATATTATTTATATCCTATAGGCATATGACATAGTTAAAACAATACACATATAAGCAGAAACACGTCTCAGTTTGGGACTTTGAGGATGTTCAGAGCTGCTGAAGGGCCATTACTATATAGTATGGAGGAGGTGGTGGTACTGGTGACTTGTTGAAGAAGGCTGCTGGCTCAAGGAGCTGGATACTAATGAATGCGTCAGGTCAAGAAATGATTTTGGATGTTGACAAGTACAAGATTTTGGACTGCTTACAAATTCATCCACGCGATCTTCGCATGCTTGATCATCTCTTGTCCGATCCTTTCACCATTGTTAGTGATAGGATGCAATTTTATTATTTATTTTATTATTAATTTTTTTTATTATCTGATTTGATGTGAATTAATTATTGAATTTTATTCATTTTTAGTATTTGACATATATTTCAGGAAGTAGAACAAAAATATGATAATAAGGGCCAATTTAACAGAAAAGAAATTCAAAGCATTGTTGACGAAAGGAAAATTTTTGCCTATTTTGGTAATTGTGGCAAAGACAGCGGACGGAGAGTCTTCATTATTCCCTCGAGGAGCCGCCGCAAAGGGGAATAGACTATTAGATGGAAAATTAAACACTACCTTTTAGTTGCTTTTATTGACTTTTCTTTGATTTAACTTTTGAGTAGCTTACCTCTTGTACGCCATTGGCCATTGGGATGATTTGAATCATTCCCTGGAGCCTAGCTTTTGACTTTTCTTCTTCGTCTTTAGTGGGGACTCTTAGTAGTTGTTTTCTTCCCTCGTAAGTGTTAGGAGCAAAAGAAAAGTATTGGACGATTCCTTTTTCTTTTGCTTTTTGTTCTTGTGACTTTTGCTTTTCATCCTTAGTAGTTTTCTTCTCGTATGTCTGGACAATTAGAAAGAATTGGATCAATTGTTGTAGCTAGGGCTGCAAACGAATCGAGCCGCTCGCGAGCGGCTCGAGTCGAGCTCGATGTTAATCGAACTCGAGTCGAGCTCGAGCCAGCTCGAGTCAAACTCGAGCTCGAACTCGAGCTCAGAATATTAAGTTCGTTAGCTCGCGAGCCGGCTCGCGAGCTTGGGTATATATATATATATTTTTTATTTTTATTTTTATTTAATAATAAAATTACATATATTATATATATATTTTTTATTTTTTATTTTCATAGTAAAATTACGTATATGTCCTTAATATTTTATTATTTATTAAGAAAAAAATATTATTTTATTTATTTATTTTTTAATAAAATATTTATTTTTTATTTTTTTTCGAGCTCGAGCTCGAAATTTGCCGGCTCGTCGAGCTCGACCTCGAGCTCGAGTTTGGTAAAATTTAGTCGAGACTCGGCTCGATTAGCTCAAAGCTCGACTCGTCTCGGCTCGTTTGCAGCCCTAGTTGTAGCTTACTTTTCTCATTGATCGAAGCGAATTGAATTCTCCCAATTTCCAAGAAAATTGCTGCTACTCTCTCTACAATATTGCGTGGGTCTCTCGTGTCAGAAATAAACTAAATCCCTTTTTCTAGTCAAGAAATAACGGATGTTTTGGATCGTCTAAAATTATGAGATTGATTTAATTTTAATTTTTCGCTTATTTATTGGTATTTACATATTCTCTGATTGCAGTGCGTATGGTTATTTAATTAATTGATTGTCTTGGATCCGAATAATTAGTTAATTTAGTAACCCATTGTCAATTAGGGTATTAAATCCGTAATTATTTAATTATCTTGAAATAGTGACAACTGACATGATTGGTTTTGATATGGTATAATTTATTAGTAATTTTATTATTAATCTCCCCTTTTATCCTTGATAAATACTGTGTTAATTGCTGATATTTACTCATATTTGGTATTTGGAATCAATTTCAAGAATGAAGCAGGAAACTACCAAAAAGGAGGGACTTTATGGAGAAAATGGAGACTTTTAAGGGTTTCAATCCTTGGGCCCATGAATTGGTGGGGGACCACAAAGTTAGTGAAAGACATTTAGTCATTTGAGCTCTTCAAAGAAAGCAACGTAGAGAGACATGGAACAAGAAGTAATTTGGAGACTTTGTCCACATGTGTGGGAACCACCTAGATAGCTTTTAGTCATCTTTCTTTTGGTCCTTTAAAAGGGAACAACGTACAGAAGCAAAGGAGGTCTTTTTAGTTTGAGCTTTTTAGTTTAGTTCTAGTTTTCTTTCTTTTGACTGGCCTCTGACACACGCCAGGTGTTTGACAATATTTCTCAACGGGAAAACATCTTTTATTCCTTGCTTCCTAGTAAAAAGGCGATGCCATTGCAATCATTTAATTCGTGTGGTGATTTAATTATGCGGCGTGGCTAAGCCTTCCATCTAGTCAAGGGTCAACTCGACGGCACAGTTCTGAAAATCTGTGAGATCTAATTAGTTTTCACGCGTTTCTCAATTTATTAATATTTGCACGTTACCTGCTTGAATTTTCATGAGATTATTTTATTATTTGAATGTCAAGGGCCCGATGTTCAATGAAATTTATTAATCTCGTGCCAAATTAGTCAATTAAATCCGTAATTGTTTGATTGATTAATATTAGTGGGAACTGGTGTGTTTACACATTAGGGGAACGTGCAATCTAATTTAAATAACCCTCGTAGCGTGTTATTGATTAGGGTTAGGTTTTTCTAGTGATTAATGCAATTGAAAAATTAATTCCTACGGTCATACCTAGGAGTATTTTCTGGTTAGGGGTAATCAATGATCGTACCTTGGTTATCAATAAATTAAGGAAAAATTGGTCGTTAGAATTCGTCGGCGACTATAACTAGTCTATTAATAAATTAAGTGAACCTCTCTTGTATCAATAATCGGGTAAACGGACTGTGTCTGAATAGTTGTATCATTGGTTAGAATTTATTTATTCTTGATCTAATTCCTGCTATATTTGTGTTAGTTAATTATTTATTTTTAGTTGGATTGTTTAATTATTTTTTGTTGCATATCGGTGAAATCCCCCTCTTATCAATTGGACTTTAAAAGAGGCAAATATCTCCAGTCCCTGAGGAGACGACCCTACTTGTCACTGTCTATTATTTGGTAAATTTTGTCAATTAATTAATTATGGTATATCGGATACAACAAACTCTTCGGAAACAGGGTGAATTAAGTAACCCATTGCACACCTAGAGTCCCTGCTCCAGTACCTAGGATTAAGTCTTGACTGGTTTTAGTGGTATTTAGGTTTCTATTATTATTATTGCACGGATTCGGCACCTGTCAATTTTTGGCACCGTTATCGGGAAACTGGCGTTATTATTTGTTTCTTTTTAAATTCATTTTTGTTCTAATTTTCTGGTATTTTTCTAGTGTATGCCTCGGTCTTCTCGTACAGGTGATTTGATTTTTGACCCTGAAGTAGAGAAGATCGCGCGTAGAACGAGAAAGGAAACCAGACAGATCAGAGAGGAGCACTCCAGTGCTACGTCTCAGAGACCTGAGTCAGAAGTTGAACCAACAGATTCATTTGGTGACACTTCGAGTGACTCGGAGCAGGAAGAAATTCCCATGGCTAATGCACAAACATTAAGGGAGTTGGCTGCTCCTGATTTAAATCAGTAGCCTTTATGCATTACTTTCTCAAGTTTGAGTGATAACACTTCATTTGAATTGAAATCGGGTCTAATTCACCTTTTACCCTCTTTTCATGATCTACCAGGTAAGGAGCCACATAAGCATCTGTAGGAATTTGATGTCGTGTGTAACAGTATGAAACCCCCGAGAATTACAGAAGAGCAGATAAAAATGAGGGCATTCCTCTTTTCCTTGAAGGATTCTGCAAAGGACTGGTTATACTACCTACCGCCAGGTAGCATCACTACGTGGGACCAATTGAAGAAAAAGTTTTTAGATAAATATTTTCCTGCATCCAAGGCTGCGAGTCTAAGGAAAGAAATTTGCGG